CACCACTTGTGTCTGGCTGCCAACTGAATTTAACTCCACTAATGCCACAACTCTGGGCCTGGCCATATAGCAAAGACTACACCTGTCCAAGTCATGAGCAGCCAGTGTCTCCAGGAGAGTGCTGTATGAGACAGTGTCTGTCCAAGGCTTTACTAAACTCCAGCTAAACTTTGATAATTCAACCATTAATTATGACATTTTGGGAAGTAAGAAGACCATGTGTCATATTTTAATAATCTTTTTTAAAGTTGAAGGTTTAGGTAAGTGTTTTTAGATGGATACTGTCATGACAGAAGTCTTTCTAAATATCTGCTAGAACATGAAGATTCATAAACTCATCTGGATTTTATTTAGCGTTTACAGAACTCTGCTTTGTACCAGCAGTCTTTCTGCATTTAATGCATCTTTGAACAATTTTCTTTTTGGGCTTCTAGTTTTGTCTCTTCACTATCAGATACTTATTTTTGGCAGAAAGCCAAGGCATCTCATCAGTATTTGATTTTCATAAGTGTAATTTAAACAAAAAATGCATGCATTGGAACTGAATTTAATTAAAATTCATATTTTTGTCAGGAAATTACTAGAAAATATTTCTTTATAAAGCATATTTTTATGTAGTCTTGCAGCACTTGTGCTGCAAAATAATGCTTTTCATCAAAATAGGATTTAGTAACAACTTTCAGACTTTTGAGAGGTGCAGTCTGACTATTCTATCTCAATTGCAAGAAAGACTAGTGTGGAGGGTTGGTTACTTGACTAAAAGAAGTTACAGAGAGACAACTGGTGGCAGACATTTATCTGGTAACTAATACATGTGGAAGAAGCTAACACAGGACTACTTCTAAAAGAGAAAACTTTTTTGGGGTTTAGATTTTGATGTTGGAAATAGCACAGAACCTTCTATTAAAAACACCCCATGCTGTTACAGTAAGACTCAGAATAGGAGCCAGACAGCTGCAGTGTGAGCTGGTTACACAAGCCAGATGATGTTGGAGCCTGTTCTCTTACCAACCAAATAAGCCTGCTGCTGCCTCACTGGCTGTTGCACTTAACTATGTTTGATGCAATGTGTGAATGTAGTACATCTTTAGCTGCTGAGAACTGTGAGGAAGTTGGCTGGCTTTCCAAGAATGTACCTGGCTTACCTCCCTATGTAATGGGTCTGCTTCAGTTGTTCTGTGTATTTTATATACAGAGCAGTCTCTTTGTTTCTTCTCTGGGGTTTTTGTACACTCAGTTAACTTTGGGTGAGGGTTGGATGGGTTTTGTTTTTTTTTGTTTTCTTTAATAAATCATAACTTTACATTTGGAGCTTTTTAATTTTGTCAGAATAGCTGCATAACTAATGAAGTGCAAAGAATTTGTTCAAGTTTGTGTTGATGATTTCAACTAACTTCACTGTCAATAAAAAGTAAGAATTGACTTTCTGAAGAAGAGTTGGAAAATCACTGTTTCCTATTCTTGATGTGTGTGTTTTCATCCCATATAGGGAAGGTAAAGGGACTGTGAAAAAGCTACAGCCCCTACCAGCTCTTGTCAGTCAGTTAAGCACACACCACTGGTAGTATAAGCCAGCCTGCACTGGAGCAGATGATCTGCAGCTCCTCTTTGGTTTTGGTCACCAACCGTTAGTGGAGAGCACCCTTGAAAAGCAGAGATGAATGAAGTTGATTTTGCCCAGAGTAATTTTAAATAGAAGCTGTGTTGGTTTTGTTTTGGTTTTTTGGTTTTTTTTTTGTTGTTGTTTTTTTAATTGTTGTTTGTTTGTTTTTCAAAAAATAGACATAAAAGCCTCATACCTGCCTCAAAACATTATTTCACTGTTAGGGTCATAATCAAAACATATGGGGAAATCAATCTTGTTTAAGATAAACATCTGCATATGCAATCTTTTTCTAGAAGAGGAGCCAAGTTTGCAGTCATTCTACACATCTGTAAGACTGAGGCCAATGCTAGTAAATATTCCATAGAGCAATGTGGCAAAATTCCTGAAGTGAACTACTGCCTGTGCAAACTTAAAGTTTACTTTGCTATTACTTCCCAGAATAAAGAATAACTGCATCTATTATTGTGCCTGAGCTGGGAATTCACCTCAGCCTTGTTGTGAAATATTTGTAGAATGTAGCTTGCCTTTATGGATATTTAGAATTAAAGGACAACCAGCAGCTTTTTATTGTAGCTATATCAGAATACACAAATGGAAAGAGTCTCCCAGGGTTATGTTTCCCTGTGTGCACACATGCCAGAAAGGTATATTCTGCTCAAACTCTTCTGTGTGCTCAGGGGCAGTTTGCCTATTTCTATTGTGCAACTGTTTTGGCTGCAGCTTCTTTCTGTGGGCCCAAGGCTGTGATGTGAAAGCAGGCCAAGAGGATACGGGAAAGCAGAGCTCAGGCCTGTTACCTGCTGGAGCACAAAACTGATGCTTTTTTTCAGTTACTGGACGGAGCTCCATCATTGTCACTGCTGCTCTCCTTGTTGAAGACAAGTCAAGGGGATGCAATCCAAGATCTTCTAAACATCCCCTCCACCTTCTTAAAATTATCCTAATGTTTGTGTTTTTTTCAGAAGATTTTGGTTTGGAGAGAATGTGAAACACATCACATCACATCAGAAGACTCAGAAATACCCTCCGTGGTCCGAAAATGTCTGAGCTCTTGTAGGGAGAGCTCCTTCAGTCAGTTTTGAAGGCAACGCCCTGTTCTATGTCCCTGGGCAAAATGGCACATGCATTAGTGAGCCTGTACCCCAATTTACAGTGCACAGTGGGCAAACAAAACACATATAGGGGCCCCAGGAGACTTTTCTCCATTTGTACATTCTGATATAGTTATGATAAAAAGCAACTGCAAACTGGTTGTCCTTTTTTAAAAAACTTTTTTTTTAAAAAAGGTGACAGGGCTACTCACAATCAGCAAAGAGGGCACTTGAGCTGATGTCAACCCTTAAGTGCAAACCAGGATGTGAACAGAGTTGCAGGGAAACAAAGCACTCCAGTCTGCAGTAACTGAGCTGTTACACTGTTACAGAATCACAGAATTCTAGGGGTTGGAAGAGACGACAGATCATCTAGTCCAACCCCCCTGCCAGAGCAGGGTCACCTAGAGCACATCACACAGAAACACATCCAGGTGGGTTTTGAATGTCTCCAGTGAAGGAGAGTCCACAGCCTCTCTGGGCAGCCTGTTCCAGTGCTGTCACTCTCACAGTAAAGAAGTTTTTTTCTGATATTCACATGTGTTGTCAAGTTAACAGGGATGTGGTGTTGGTGGATATGGTTTAAGGGAGAACTTTGTAGAGCAGGGATGATGGTTGGACTTGGTGATCCCAAGGGTCTTTTCCAACCTGAATGGTTCTATGATTTTATGATTCTAAGTTCAGAAATGACAAGGGGACAAAATGATGTGTCTGGCTCCCTTCTTTGTGCAAGGTTTCCTTGTGTGAAATGTCTCTTCTTTCCTTAAACTAAATTATTGTTTGAAGTCCAGCCATGTCCAAGGGAACTAGCTGCTGGCACTTTATTAACTCAGTTTGTTATTGCACCTCTTTCACCTCATGCATTTGCCCTTCAGCTCCAGCAGTTGTTTAAGGGGACAGAGCTGTGAATGGGGCAACTACACATACCTCTTCTGCTGAGAATTTAAAGAAGCTCTCTTAGACTTGATAAATCATTTAAGATGACACAATGGGAAGACATTCTGCACATTTCTTGTACAAGCCCAGAGCTTTCTGCAGGGAAAAGAGTTATGTCAATTGGAAAGCAAGCAGCAAGCAGGCTCCTAAGCAGAGAGACCATAGTGGGTACTCAAACTGTGAACCATGCCAAGAGGTTGTGACAGTTAATATATTTTTCTTAAAATTTAGCAGAGTTGGGGCCACATGGATCTGAACTTCCACTTGGGTAAAATGTTTACTGCTTCCTGAAATGTCCCCTTAGTTTAGCCCATGGCTGGAAGTCCCTCAAGAATGATCTGTGAGAAATAGCGAAGGCAGCACAAAGCATTCAGGCCTTCCTTGTGGTGGTGTGTGTGCTATCTTAAACTGTTATCAGAGGGACATAAGTGTATGTGATTTGCTTTGCAGTGGAGTCAAGAGCAACACTTCCATGTTTTCCATTCCATTAACCCTGGGATCCATCTTGTCACCCCAGCACACACAGGAATTTCACTTAGCAATTCCTGCAACCATTCAGATAACACAGTTTACCTTTCCTTGTGCACAAACACAGACCCAACCTTGTGCTTCAATGTACAGTGCAGACAAACAGGTACCTTCCCCCTCCAAGCTCTGTCTAGCAGAGCTGAATGGAAGTATCACCCTTAAGACAAAGGTAGCACTTCAAGCACACACAACACTTTGGTCTTTGAGGCAGTTTCTCAGCCTGTTTGTTATGAGGAGCCAATAGTCACATGAAGAGCTAAAGAAGCACCACATGCCTTCTAATAATTGTGTAACAGAAGCTATGAACTTTCAGTAAGGACAAGGACAGGCTTACCGTAATGATTTCAGTGTTTGAAATGGGGTAGTGGTGGGGAATTCCCACCTATGGGTATCCTTCCATTTCCTCTTTTGAGTGGTTTGAATTTATTATAAATACCCTCTCTGAGTCTGAGAGCACACAAGACAAGCTCCATCTTCTTTGGCTTTGCCTTTCTGCAAAGGTGAGTGATATTCTGAATCTGTGAGCTATATGTGGTGTTTTTAGCTGGTACTCAGGAACAGGACTAATGCTTCAGCATGTAGGACTTCTCTGTACTCATGACTGAAACAGCAGGGAATGCTAAAATTCAAGTTTCTCATCTCCATCCGTCACTGTTGTGGACTCCTTGGCTGAGTTTGTCATTGCACAGAGGGCATCAGTCCTTGTGGGTGGAGAGGCAGCTCCCCAGGCCAGCTATGGGTGTGATGGATGCTAATGTAAGCCATCTCTCAAAGGTGCTCCAGAACAGCTCATCTCTCTGATTGTCTCACAGCTCCGTGTCAGGCTTGGGCTGGGAACCATGAGGCTCTGTGTCTGCCTTGTCTTGCTCTCCTTCACTCTATGTGCAAGTGCTGACTTCTCATTTGTACGCCGTGGTGCACAATTTGCCTGGGATGCAGCGGGAGGTAAGCTGCTGTTACCATGGCCTTTCTCTCAGGAGCACCCTCCCCAAGCACAGGTTACCAGCAGTCAGTGGACACAGTCCTTAAGAGCTGGGAGATCCACAGCGCCACATGAGGCACCCCACTGGTTTCTGCTGCTGGAAGATGGCCTTGATCAGGCTCTGCACATGGGTACACTGCTGTGCAAAGGCTGATGTGGAGAAGTGCCTCTCTGTGTTACTGCTTCTTGAGCATTTCAGCTCCCAGCTGAAACGGTACTTAACTCTTCCTGGGATGACTCTTTAAAGTCAACATAATCTCTGTTTCTTCACTTTCTTCAGGGGCATGGGATATGTTCAGAGCATACCGGGACATGCGTGAAGCAAATTATGTGGGTGCTGACAAATATTTCCATGCTCGTGGCAATTATGATGCTGCCCGAAGAGGACCTGGCGGTGCTTGGGCAGCCAGAGTGATCAGGTAATGGAGCATATTTGGCTTGTTAACAAGGAGTTAGCAGGGATCCATACATTCCAGTTAGAGTGAAGTCCTTTTTGACTTGTACTCAGCTTTTGACCTGGAAGGCCAGTGGAGAGGAGAGGCAGTTAATGTCTGAACTGCCCCTCTCTGTCAGAACAGTGCCTCTCCTCCCACACGCTCTTGAGCCTTATTCTTGCCCTCCTGAGAAGGCAGATTCCTTCCCTCTGCATTTCTGGTGGCAAGGAACGCTCTCGCCTGGCTGGTGTGTTTCCTGACACACCAGGGATGGATTCCACTGCGGTTCTCAGCCAAGGACTGTCTGTGTGCTTGCAGCTCGCTTTGAGAAGTCCTGTGGAAAAAATTGGTTTCATGACTGAGGAAGTCAACACAAAACAGAGCTAAATGCTGGTTAACTGAGGTGGCCTTTTTCCCTCCTTCCAGTGACGCCCGGGAAAACTGGCAAAGCGGGGTGAGCGGCAGAGGCGCCGAGGACACCCGCGCTGACCAGGAGGCGAACGCCTGGGGCAGGAGCGGCGGGGACCCCAACCGCTACAGACCCAGGGGCCTTCCCAGCAAGTACTGACACCTCCCCAGGACCCACCCCGGTTCCCCTCACACCCCTCCTGCGCAGCCGAATAAAGCCATTCTCCCAGAAACTCCCCTGGCCAACGCCTTTCCTTCTGGGGCGCCGATCCGAGGGCACAGCGCGGGCTGGGAGGGATGCTGGGCGCTC